CACAATGTCCGTAGTGCAGCAGACTTTTATTTGTAAACACTTTGTCGCTGTTTTTCTTCAAAACAAAACGAACACGTTTAAACCTACAAGATTCCAAAAGATGACTAAAAACTCGATATGAAAATTTTTGTGTAATAATTAAAAATATATTTGTTTTTTTTATACCAATTTAATATTAGATACGAGTATATTGCAGACTGAATAAGTATTAAATTTACTGCGATTTGATGGACACACCAATAACCGAGTAACTACCGAGTAGTGATATTATAGTGTTAGTTCATACGGGTAATTAACAGTTCTATAAAGTTCTTCAACAATAAGAATTATTGCCGCGTGCCGCTATAAATTTTAGCTGAAATGTAAATTTTACTTTAATTAAATTTTTGTGGTGGCAACTTAAGGACCTTTAACATCAACACTGGGCATCCCACATAAAAGAACAGTCGTCTTTATGGCGTAATAAAACGTTAAGGTTTGGGACAAGGTTCTGTTTGAGAATTTCAGCATTTATTTTTAACGCAGTGTTAATGGAGAGATTTTCATTGTAAAATTAAATTACACGATCAGTTTGATCAATTTATTCTCCCTTTATCAAATTTTGTAAAATGCCTGACACTCCATTTCGTCCTAGTAATCGCTAACTAACACAACTTAGCCTTGTTTTTACCCAATTACAGTTCAGTGTTTGAACAAGCAACTTGCAGAATAAAATCAATTAGGAGTTGTTTATAAAATGATAAAGCATTATTAATGTACTAATTTTGACAGCTAATAATGTAATCAATGACCAGTCTGAAAGTAAAAGGAGTGATTCGAGGACCACAACTTTCAAAGATCGAGTGTTTCTTGAAAAGAAGTAATTAATCAAAATGTGTCATTTTGCCTTTCATTTTAAGCTACTGCTTCAAATTATGAAACTTAAGGCGCAAGATTGCAAATCAGCATTTTGCGATCGATTCAATGGAACAATGTAACAGAAAAAACTCGCTGAGAAATTACCATTAAAAAGGAATCTGATCTACGGCTGTTGTAATAAAATTATTCACTTGAAAATGTAAAGTACTCAACATAAATTTTATTTGTTGATACAATTATTTAACATTCCAATATCACGTCTCAGGACAAACTATCTTCCAATTACTCTGGACTAGTTTCATTTTTGTGTTAGCTGGGTATATTTTCACGATGGCTGATTAATTTTGCAGTGACAAGTATTGATAGTTGCGCACAACTTTAACGTTCCAACATCGTCGTAAAATGAGAGTGACTTCTCCGATCCATAACTTTGAATAAAATATCAAAATGTACTGGATATTGGCTTGGATAGTTATTAAACAGCGCTAACTTTCATCCAACAGGACGATTAATAAGCAAGTAATTCTGCGTTTTAATTTGAAGAACTCCACGATACAAAGTGTTATAAATAGCTGCAATCACACTAAGGCATGCTCGGTATGAATGTCCATGAAATCGTGACTACACGAAATATAGCAACGTTTCTCTCGTCGTATTTTTTGTGTAAAAAGTATAAATGACACTCTTCGTTGTGTTAAATATAAAGAACGGTAACATCCACCATTTATGCCCCGAAAAAGATCTACGCAAAATATAAATTACGCATGATTTATATTCTTAACATTCAAGCAAAACTGGCTTTATTTTTTTTGTTTCCTTGAAAATGTATTTCCTCCACTATTTATTAAGTGTCTCAAAGTTTAATTTAATTTTGCTAGCAATATTTTACTTCGTGTTAAAGATTTCTTAATGCCACAAAAACAAAAAATACTAAGAAGGTTATTGTGGATTTGATAATTTAAATTGTCATCGGATGCCAATTTGACGACGTATTTTCGTTATAATTTACTTTTGTAATGTTTGATCTTAAATAGATTTACTAAATATTTATGGTCAGTTACACTGTTACGAACAATGACTCCAACAAGTTATTATCCCCACGACACCATTTTTTTAACAAACAGCGATCGTCATCTTGGATTAAATAATTTAACGGCTATCCGAAAGCATCGACATTTCGAAAAATCGATGCCTACCAAAAATAACGTGCTTTTTCTAACAAATAAAAAATTAAATATATTAGCAGGGAGACAAAGGTCGTGGTTGTCAAAACGAATGCCAATATTTGCATAATTAAATCAAGTTACCTATGTAAACTAGTTATTTTACTGTTTCTATTAAAAAATTAATAAAATTAAAACAAAAATGAAACAAAAAGTTGATTTTATTAATTACTCCTATTATTTCATTTTTATTAACACGAAAAAAGACAGGGGTGGATTTTTGAAAATTTGTCTTTGACAGAGTTTTCCTGTTGTCACATTAACGTCAATTTGAAATTTTTACGGCTGTCTTTGATCGTGTTTTTTTTTTGTTGATTTTTCGGTATACAATATTTTGAAAATTTATTTAAAACAAGTCTATATCTATGCTGAAAATTCATTTTAATCTCTTTTCCCTGGAAACAGTATACTAATTATACTAATATTTGTAAAATGTATAAATAGTTTTAGTTAGATCATTAGGATACTCAACACGTCAAGTTACTCAACTGGATAATACCATCCCTAAAGATAAATCTAGTTTCAAACTGTATCACATGAGAATTTCTAGCAGTTTACTCTGCTTCAAATTCATGAAGTCTACAAAAGAACACTCGATATTAGAATTCCCGCAATGTTTTCCAAAGTACATTTAACTGTTTAGAACTTTAATGAGAAATTCATACACCGTGTGATGTTAGTTGCCATCACGAATCAAGTGTAGCTTTTGATCTTGCGTGTTCTTTTTACATAAAAATTTTATTTCATAAAATATTAAAAACAGCGTAAGAAGTGCAGGCCCAGCAAAAAACGTTCTATTTTAAACTGTGCACTATTATATGAACGCATAAAACTTGCACAATGTATGCCCTCATTCTAGAACTTTGCATATTAGGTGTAACAGAAATTTGGGCTCATAAAAGCATAAACACATTTCTCACATCCTTTCGAGACAGCCTCTTTTTTGTAGAATGTTGTGGAAACAGCGCTATCATAATGACGGTCCAATCTTTGCTTACGAGTAAAAAATAACGTTCTAATAAGACCTCGTCTACAAAAAATATCTTTATTGTTCTGCAAACAAAGTCAACCTTAAAAAGACAAAGCCCGGTTGACCCTAAAGAGGATTACGCAAAATGTTTGTTTTGGGGGTTAAGCGTAAACTATGATCAACTGTTAATGTCTGGCGTAGACGGTGGGTTTTGCTGAAAGAGCGAAAATTATCATGTGTTCTTCTGGCAAAGCGTAAAGTACGAAGTGAGAGATCTGTCAGAAATGTATTTCCTGTGTCATTCCTGACTTGAATTTTCCTGCTTTATCTCATCATTTTGGGTAAATGTTCTCTGACGGGCTCTGATTATATCCCTTTTCCTTAATGCGAGGTACGAGTTTGGAAAAAAATCGCTTTGGAACGACTTTGTGCGGAGGTAATTTTTTCTAGTCTTTTCGTCTAACACAATTTTGCTTTTGTCTTATTTACATTGATATGAAAATGAGTGGACCGTTTTTCGAGGGGAGTCCGTCAGCCTGTTATCGAATTTTTTGTTTTAAATAGAATATGTGGTAGGTGGAGTCACAATGATGGATCGATGCGGGATGAATTATTAAGAAAGCAAAGAAAAGGTTCGTTTGCTGTGTGACGAAGCAAATCCGTAAAAGAGTTCAACAAATTTGGTTAAATAGTTGGTCTGAAGAGAGTTTAATTTAATATTTGGAGGCCAAATGAAGGAAAAACAGCGATTTAATTATTAACGGTCAGCTCATTCGTGGCTATTACTTAGAGTTACATCTGGTGGAACTGAAAGCGGCGAACCATTCGTAGTTGGTTAAAAATGTATGTTCAAGTTGCGAAAAGTTGGAGTTTAGGCTACATATCTGACCCCCATTAGCAATCGCGGCACACACATTCCGGCTTGATATTCTGACTGTTCCAGCCATCTTTCCTTTTCTTACCACTTCAGAGAACTTCTAATTCACCCGTCCGACCCCATCAACACAACTGGTAAAGTTTACCGGTTGAATTTGAATGTTCGTGATTAGCTCGACTTATCAACAGCGGAATCCTTCAAACTTTAAATGACTCTCTAAATTTACATGTCCAAGTAGGAATTACTCCAATACTCCTTAACATCCATCCATTTGCCGTCACCCTGCGAAATTATCCCGATGATTTTCCGCCCATTATCACCGAAACGTCCAAACTGCCAATCTCCTCCTCAATTAGCTGCCAGCAAGTCCAAAGTTTAAACCGCTTTACGCAAACAACACAGCAAAATCAAACAAAATTCAATCAATTCCAGCAATTGTCGGAACACACGGACCGCTTTCTTTCGCCGTCGAATAAAGAAGCGCGACACTTTTGTTGCTTTAATATTCGCACTTAAGAGCGGAGTTCCCTAACTCTCATTTCCTGCAATAAAAATGCAATATACGGCACGGCTGCTTCATAGACTCAGTGGACTGAAGAAATCGAATTAGAACGAATCAGAAAAACAAATCGGTCACGAACAAAAAATTAAAATTTCAGTACATTTTCTCCTCCCTCCTCAGTTTCCACTTCATTTAACCGTCGAAATTACGCACCTATTTGCTTTTTTGTGTAATTCATTAATATTCCTCAAGCGCGTCTAAAACAGCTTTGATGTTTTTATAATGGCTAAATTATTACCGCATAGTCCATTGTTGTCGAGAATGTATAATCTATCAAGAAATTACATCTTCGCATCCTGCGAAAAACCATACAAAAGTTGTTTACAGTCACTAGAAATTCCTCGCGCCGCGCAAAAATTCATCAAACGGGTCGAAATTATTTTCGACATTTTTTGTACCCATCGACCGAAATTGAATATCCATAAGCGATTTATCTAATTTTTTTTGTAGTTTCGAAGTGAGGACACTTTGGGTTTTTACTACGGATGCAACAACTACTGACATACTCACATCGTGATCTCGTTTTTCTACAGTTTCACAAATTTTACGGGATTGTTTGTGGAATTTAAATTGTTTTTTACACAAGCTCGACGCGATATGGTATTAAGCGCAGCGCTTTCGCTAGACTGATCCGTATAACTGTGACGACCGACGCCCCTTGGCGCCGGGTCGGAAGGCGTCACTACGCCGGTCCGCTGGATTATTATCTTAGATTCGGGATATTTCGATAACGTATATCGTATGTAGAGATATAAACAAATTTTTAATACATTTTTAAAACGGCTGCATAAATTTTGTTGTTTCAGAAAGAGCGGCGTTACTTTTATCGGGACGAATAAAACAGTTATCTTCATGATTCTCCTGTAAAGTTACGGAATATCATAAATAATTTAAATAAAATTCGGAGTGGTTGGAACTACTTTGGTGGAGGTGCCGGGTCCCGTTAAAACTTTGTAGACGCACGAGAGCACGGTCCGACACATATCAGATATATACGTCAGTTTTGTTAATGACCTCTGGAGTTTGTCGAATCCGGGTATTTTTGTCAAAGGTATCTTTCCATTAGAGTGAAGCATCGCGGCTATTATCTTGTGAACAATATAGGGCCAATGTTTTTCATAAATCAGCACTAAAGTTGTCTGGAGCTAAGGCGAGGCGAGATACAGGAGGCCTACATGAGCTTTTGTGCTTTCCTGAAGCTTTCCGAGCTTTATAGTTGCCTATTCCCGGCCACAGTCGCCAGCTCAAGCTCTGTAATGAAGTGCGAGGAGAGAGCACAGAGTTATCCTGCTCTTTCGTGCACATATATGAGTTATCTCGGGATATACACAAAACTTTGCTTTAATTAAATGTGACGAGTGTCTCTGAGAAAAAACGCGATACGTGAACTTTTTAGAACCCTCATACTGGTAGTCAATTGCTGAGAAAAATTACCATGAAAAGAATAAAAAAGTGAGTGAAACGTTTCATTAATTCTCAACTACAGAGAAATTTTCATTTATGTACATATCAACTTACCAGCAAAATAATACTACCGTAACATTTAAAACATAAATTCGTTGTTGTGTGAATCTCCGCTGTGCTACGAGAATCGTTTGTGCTGTACGAGGATCATTCAAAAAGGCGGAGACTGCTACTAGAACAACTTTATTAATTAAGCTGCAAAGCTGCTACCTGTGTCGAGTTCTGTATATCCTTCCAAGCGTACAATCACTTTATGACAGTATTGTTATAATTTTTAAATACCTGAGGAAAGCACTTGAAACCAGCCTAGCAAAGCTGGCGCATGAGCAAATCAGAATAATAAGATTTGTTTTAAAATTAAATTAAATTAAATTGCATTAAATTGGTTACGTGAATTTTTCAAGGTCGTTTATCGGAGAAATGCTAATCGCACAACGCAGAAAACTGGGAATTCTCTTACCTTTGAAACTTCTTTTCGCTGCTCGAGAGGCGCACTCACTGTCTTTTAAACACTAATGTTTTATAAGTCCCAAAAGGATTAGCGGCAAAGTCCGCAAAAAGAAAGTCTACCGATCGACAAAATCGGTCATCCTTCTTTATTGAACACACATTTTAATCTAAATTAGAAACAAACAGTTCACCTGCTACGGTGATAATATAATTAAATTTTGTAAAAGAGAAATTTGATATTTATGACCACAGTGGCCACTACAATCCCGACCAGAAAATTGACAAAAATTCTAAAACATTACAATTTTGCTACTCTGCAAAAGCTGCAGTCGACTCAACATTCAGGAGGGTTCACAAAGAAAACCAGTGAGATGTTAAAGATCCCTGAGGGTGGATTTGACTCAAAACATTGTTGACACACTTGCTCATGAACTTTAGCAAAACGTGTGCTGAAATGAATTGTCTTCTCGTTGTTTATCGAATTATCCCAACAGGACACCCAATTGTAGTCGATTTACAATTTCCCATTAAAATTATTTGCCTATCACAATTATTTACAATAGAATACACATATATCGAACAACAGTTAGGGAAGAGTGGTTGGTTCTCGAACTTAATTAGTGTGGCCATTTAGATCTAAGGCCGCACTTTATCCTAATTTTCAACATTTTCTTTAATTCGAAAAGTGGGAAATTCGCCTCACTTTATTTCTGGTAACAGTGAGTCCTGCAGGTGGTACTATTGAATAACTGACGCAACACTTTATTCTGGTGAAAACTGGGGGTATTTTCTATGAGGAGCGGGACAGGAATTATAATCCTTGGTTTTATTCTGGTAATGCTTGAGTTTTGATTATCTAATTTAATAATTTATTTCATCGCAATTTTTTACTTTTGGTTTGCAAATTTTTCGAAGGCTTTTTTAAGCCCATAATAATTATTGCTATTAAAATATGTGAATTTGGTGTTGATTCTCAACGTATTCGTCTCATAAATCTATGTACAACGGTAATGGTGATCGAACTCCTATTTACAAATATATAATTTAAACCCAAGGTTTCAAGGCGAGTGGGAGAACGTGGCTTAAACTTGTGACTGTACGTAAGTTTGTCCACAATCCTTACTAAAATCGTTACACCTACATCATTCATCTTTCTAATTATGAAATCCTTAGTGTACCTTTCATCATTTAGAGAAAACGTGACCAGCTTAATGAGCAAAAAATTTATAGTTATAATATTTTTCTACAGATGGCTATGAAAGTCAATACTACAAAGAGTAGCATGAGTTTTGAAAATACATGGCAGAATATTGCCCTTTGTACGTGATGTGAAGTTAATTGATTGTTTAAAATAATCATGAGTTTTTGAATATTAATTTTGCTTGACTAAAATGTCGTCCACCTACCTTATTTACAAATTATAAATCTTCAAACTAATAATTTTCTGTTTCTCACTAACGTCTGACAGCAGAATGTATTCTTCGATAATCCATTGTTCCACGCCGGTTTGATTCAACAATTCAAGATGGAGAACAGAACCACTTAAAAAAGGAGAAGTTACGAAACAAACAACCCACTTCCAAACTTTGGGAATCAGTATATTAATTATTGAAGCAATTAATTAATTAACCAATTGGCTTTACCACCTTATGAATAATAATCGAGTTTTGAAATAAATGGATTTGGAAAATGCAGCTTAAACTTAAGTTCATTCTCTATTACCACTTTAGATAATAGTTTTCTAGAAATTAAGTAATAAGAAACAATATTAAGCAGATGACGAATTCTCGATTTACAAGTGGTCTAAAACAAAAAATAAAATGTGATCCAGTTTGAGTTCCGACGTAGTGATAATGCGAGTTACGCAACGCTACCCAAAATCATCACTTGGATCGGATCACAAAATTACACCATTATTGGTCTCTCTATTAAATGTTAATCATATTAAGACCAAAAAAATCGATGATTTTAGTTCACAAGTTTAGTCTAGACACTTAGTAAAAGTCTTAAAAACTAAGCAGAACTTTAAATAAAGCTCCAAAAATTAAATAAGAGGCAAAAAAAGAATCGCAACATACAAGAAAATTAATGAACAAGAAAGTTCACATGAAATGAAAAATAGACAAAAAAATGTGCTCAACCCTCATCTGTAATTTACAGCAATAAATCAAATGATATGGGTATGTAATTAACGATCTTAAAATCTGTTAGCAAATACGCACAGACATTATTAAGTATTTTAGTGATTCGTATTTAAGTCAGGTTAGGATTTTGCAATTTTTGGTTTGGAAAGAATATGGAAAGAAATATCAGATAATACCTTAATCCTATATGCTGAGAAACCCAATCGATGTAACTTTTAAGTAACGCTAATGGCACTCGCAGCGCAACAAAATTATTCTTTCCGACGAGAGTGTTTTGTTTTTTTTTTTATAAAATCAATAATGTTGAATTTAAAACGGACCTTTCCGTATAAGTTCATGGTAAAACACATCACAATATTTGAGATTATGGAATTAATAAGGAAACTTTGAGAATTTTTTTTGATGATGAGTCCCATGAGCTAAAATTAAGACACATACATGTGGATTGTTAAAGTACAGACAAAAATTGTAACATATGCACTTGATTCTAGTGAGATTTTCTATATAAACATTTTGATAACGTCATCAAAATTTTAGCAAGGACACGTAAGCATATCAATTTGAATAAGTGGAGTGTAATATTATCAATAACAGTACGTACTGTATCCTTACATTTGCGGGAAAATAGCATTGGCCATAAACCATCTCGCCTCATTCATTCATTTTTTGAGTCACCTTCTATAAAGTATTCTAAAAAATATGAATGCGTGAAACGTTTGCAAGATTTCAAAGCATGGGCTTTCCAATTTCAAAGTTAAATTGTAAAATGTAGTTATACAATTTAGATTTTTTCCAAACATTTAGATGCCTAGGATAAAAACTCAACATGGATTCATAAACTACAGGTGGAGCGGTATGTTATTTTATGAAATTTAAATAACTTTATACTATTGCAAAAATTACACTTTATCATCTACACGATATTCCTAATGATACAATACATACAAAATCTTACAACAATCGGTTTGGGAGTTTCGGAGATTATATGGGCAATAAACCTATTTTTTCGTACTCTTAAGATCATGAAACGTCGACAAAACGGGAAAGTACTTAGTACAGTCGGGAAGTACAAAACATGAACAATTAAACTTAGTGTTTGGCATTACTTGTCTAACTGCCAAAAAACGTATTTGATAAAAAAACCGTAAGATTCCAGATGAATTCCGAAGAATAACACGAAACTTCCTTCTTTGATAAACACACAGATAACAAACTTAAATTTTCTACCAAAAATTGTAATACTATCTAATTTGTTTATGTATAAAGAGACAAAAGCAGAACCCTTACTGAATAATAAAATATCCTTGCATACACACGCATTGTCGTAACATGAAAAGCAAAACTGTGTAGACAAAGTTGGTAATTTTTCAGGCTAAATCTGTAGTTTTATCCAAAATTTTAAAATTCAAAGTAGCGGAAACTAATTTTAAGCAAACGCCAACTCATTAAAACTCTGCAAATACGATCTGACACATCAAAGTTATAAGTTACTCCACCTAAAATATGTTCATACTTCAGTGC